GTCATCTGAAATCCGTAGTTTTACTTCTTTGTGCTGCCAAACGGTACACAATTGGCTTATAAGAGGTAGGTGTTTGAGAATAGCTAATGCCCAGTCGTGCTCTGCATAATGCATTTGGTGAAAGAACAATAAATGTGTGGATTTAAACAGAATATAGACAGCTAATTATCTCTGAGGTTAAATGTTCGGTTCATTCCTGAGGAAATACTGAAGAAAAAAAAAAAACCCCAAAGCCCAAGAGTGATATTAAGAAACTTTTTTTTTTTTTTTTTTTTAAAACCCTAAAATGGTTCTTTGTATTGTACAATTTTACGATCCTTCATCCAGTACCATGAAAGGACTTGTCCAGGATAGAAAAAGAAGCTGCTTTGTGCAGGCAGGGAATTGGCTGTGGGCGCTGGCATTAGACCTTCCCAGACCTGTGCTCGGAGAGGCGAGGAGGCCGGGCTCCTCCGTCCCCGCACGCTCTGACCGAGCCATTGTTTGGTGGAAGGAGCTTCTGGAAACCGATTGTTCCCATTTGAAAAGGGGGGGGAGGGAAAAAAAAAAAAAAGCAAAGAGAAAAACCCCCAAGTTACAGTCGGGCTTGTGCTGCGCTCGCTGCTGAACGGTGCGATCCCTTCCTTTTAGATGCGGGGTAATAAAGCTGCCTGGCTTTGATTAAAACCTTGGCCTGATGTGTTTCGTGGTCTGTTTCAGGGAAAAAAAAAAAAAAAAAAAACAGTTAAGTTCTTCGAACAGAAACGACTGAGGCATCTGTTGAACGTGAGGGATGAACAGGCTGATTTTGGTCTGCTGTAACTGAACAGGTATTTGCCGAACCCCCGCCAAGTCTCGGGGTTTTGGCGCTGGATGAATTCCCCAGGGATTCAGCGGCGATTTGGGAAAAACCAGGTTGCGCTTGTGCTGTGAGTCAGGGCTGGCAGCGCCCGACGTCGGGGTGTCGGGGTGTTCCTGTGCGCAAGCGGGCGCATTAAACCTGCTCCTCCAAGTTTTGTTCCATAACAGGTAGAGTAAGTTCCTGATTTTCTAGTGTAATTGTTGCCTTTTTGTTTTTTTCCAGGACACGCTATAAAATTGAGTTAATTCCCTTCTTGCGTGAGTGCATTACAGAGGGCGGGGGGGTCCAGTGCCGTAGGTAAACACCCGGCTCCTCTGAGGTGCTGGAGTCTTGGAAAATGGGGTTTTTATTTGAGAATGATTATAAATTACAAACAGGACAATTTATTCTACTGAAACGCTGTTGTGTGTACTCACAGAGACGACTCTTACGTGCTCGATCAACAAGATTAAAATAGCTTGGTAAGGGACTACTTAACTCAAAAGCCAATTAGCCAGATGCTACTGAACAGCGTGAATTATGCTCCAGCCGGGCGTGAGGCGGCGGCTGGGGACAGCCCACCGTGCCGCCTGCCCGCGATCCCCAAACCACCCTGGTAAAAACCCTCCCGAGAAGCAGATTTATTTATTTTTCAGAACTCCCAATTTCTCAGCAAAAGCATCTTCCATAGACTAATTTAAAAAAAAAAAAAAAATCCAGACAAATTTCTCACTGTTTATCTTCTTTTCCTTCAAATAGGGAGCTATCGAGTTCCGAAAGTTTGCTGAAATAATCCGTCTAGACGGAGCGAGAATAGCACGGCAAGCTAACGCCGCGGGTGGGGGATTTAGAAGTCGTTTCTTTTTTGACTTGCCGTCTGTAAAATTTTGAGTGTTTTCCTTCTTTCTAAATTAGGTGGAATACGCGCTGATATTTGTGCATTTAATGGTAATGTGCGTTTCCAGTGCGATTTGGAAAAGTTTTATGTCGTCAGCTGAACGGCTGGCAGCTCTGGGAGGAGTTTGGTTGCTGTGTCTGTAACAGGAGGGAGCTGGGTTTCTGCAGGTTATATTGCTCCCCCGCCAATTCTGTTGGAACAACCATATTTTATTTTAATCCTGCAGGTAGATTTCTTGACGGTTTTGTACTGATGCTTTACAGTTTCTATAGAGGCGTTCGGTGCGCTATATAAACCTTATATTGCCCTTATCTGAAGGAGCTCGCCACCTATAACGAGTTTATCCGAACTTGCATTAACCTTTGCTATTTTACCAGTCTTGAAATTTCCACTTGGGTTTTAAAAACGCTTGTGTGTTTTACAGCCCTCTCGCGCCGATCTGTTTAAGGTTCCCGGCTAACAGCCGTGTTGAAATTTCCAGCCGATCTGCCGGGAGAGACGCCGAGTTAAAGGCAGGTCACGCAGCAGCCCGAACCCCGATTCTGACGTGAGCCGGCGCTGCTTCTGACTGTCTGGCTCTAGATTCTTACCACGGGGCGTAGCGGATGAAATATTAATTGCATCGTCAAGGAGTAAAGATTTACCATCTTATACTCATCAGCTGTATCAGTGGGGTTTTGTTTCCAGTCCATTATTTGACTACTTTTGTGCTTAGAATTTAGCTTGCCAAAGAGTCATTCGGAAGCCGCTGTATGTTGTTTGTTTTCCCCCCCAAGACTTAATTATCGTTTGTTTTTCTCCTTTGAAGTGGGTAAAACTATATTTCTTGGGTGATAAAGTGCAGTGTTTTTCAGGCTTTTTGAGATTTCCCGATAACTTCTTTACTGGCAACTTTTTGGTTTTTTACAGCTTGTTTCTAGACTTTATTGGAATGAAGTGTTCTTGCGGTTATTTGCTTTTCAGGGATGTACGTGCAGAGGCAGTTTTTAAGTGTTCCTTTGTTTCACGAATTACATTTGAGACAACTTGAGGGGCTTCACCTCAAGTACTCTCAAGCGTGATGGTACGGGCTTTTGTCAGTACCCGTGTATTTCATGCGCTCCCTCCGGATTAAAGCATGCTGGTCTTTATTTAAAAAATGAAATTGTAAAGACAACTCTAAAGCATGGTTGTGGGTTTCTCTTTTATTTTTTTTTTTTTTTTGTTTGGTTTTAAAACTCTGAGCAATATATACCGAAGGCATTTAGCTCGGGTATCATAGGTCAGTGCGTGAGCGCTTTCCTTCTCCACAACCCGGCGTTATCTTAACATCACAGGAGATACCGGAGGTTCCCGGCAGCTGGATGGCTGCGCCGCCTGCACAGCGTTTCCTGGTTGAGGACACAAAGCAGTCAGGCAGGGAAGTGAAACTTGGGTGTAATCGTGCAAACCAAAGCGCGTCGCCCGCGCGAGCACGGCCGGCAGAGCTCGGAGCTCGACCTGCTGGCGGTCTCCAGGCGTCGAGCTCCGGGGCTGCGCACATCCCGATACGGCAGCTTAATCCTTGCGCTAAATTCGCCGGCTTCTCTATCTGTGAGCAGAGTTTCAAATGCCACAATTTTTAGGAGGTGGTATTTAGTGCCTCGAGGCATCAAAGCGAATGAAGGCATTTAATTCGGAGAGCTGAAGGCGGCGAGGCAGGAGTTTGTAACCACCTCTCGTTTTGGGACTCTGTTTGCAGGTAAAAAATTCTTTTGCACGGTCTTTTTTTGCGCAGACAGCGAGCGTTGACTCTGTCTCAGATTTAGATTGCTATGGTCACGGGTTAGAAATAAGTTTTGAACTGCTGTGTAGCTAATAAAGGAAAAATCTAATGATAGGAAGCGTCTATTTTTAAATCAAAAGAGGCTCGTTAGGACCCTGTCGATGAACCCTGGGGCAGTGCCGCCGGTTCTTGTGTTACAGCCTCGCTGCATTCCTCAGACTTGTAAACCATAGCCTTAAAAAATAATCCTGATCGGGGCGGACGGGAGTTGAACTTCTGATTATTTCTGGAGCAAATTAGACGTGTGTTTCTCAGTATTGTCATTGCATTTTCATGAGCGTGTGGGTTTTGCTCAAATGTGCAAGGTCTGATGTTTAGTAACATATTTTGTGTCTTCAGGTACGTGCGTTTTACATATTGAAATGGCAATTTTTTTCTGTGTTTTCCCGCCCCATTGTGAACGTGGCTTTGAGGTTTTGTAAATGGGGGCCAGATCCTTCCTTGGGGTTAGGCGGGTTTGCCGTGGCAGAGGGGTCTCTATTGTTTCCTTACCTTGTGTATCCTGTTGTTCTTTGTTTAACCTGTCATCCGACTTGATGTGGTGCCTGCTGCCCCTGCTTTCGCTGGCTCCTTAAATCAGGAGCGGCGGGAGCACAAGGAAAATACACGTATGTAATGCCACGTGGAGCTGCCCCTGCACCGTCTCGGGGCGGGGGGGAGGCTCGTGTTCCGTGCTCTAAAATAAGCAGCAAAAGTGTTTAAAATTTCTATGCTTTTGGGTGCTGGCAGCAAAGTGAATTTTGCCTTTCCTGGGATGCTGGTTGCATTAACACACAAGAGATCTAAGAGTTCTTGCTGTCATGAGTGTTGTCACCGAGTGCAGGAGCCACGCTCTCGGTCCAGCTTTTGCGTCTGTAAATGCTGGCGTTTGTGTAAACGTGGTTTTTTTTTTTTTTTATGATGGGTTCTAAACCTCCCTGGTTTTACTGCTTGCATGCTTAAGTGACAGTGTCTTACAGTAGCTTTGAATTAAGCCTGTTGAAACTGTACCAAGTCTGTAGGGATCTTGTTGCTTTATATTTAATGTTGCTTTTTTTTCCAGCTAGTTGTTTCATAAATACAAATTTTACTCTTAAAAAGCATGAGCAAGACGGCTCTGACAAGCTGGGAGACTCGAGGTACGCCTTGGCTAGTGCAGTAGCAATTTTCTTATTTCCTTTTTTTTTTTTCCTTCTTTCTTTTTCAGAACCTGAAACGACTGATACCAACTGCTGCAGTCAGGCTTCGTGACAAGAAGTTGCTTTTCAGAGGAAGGAGCTGGAGTGCTCTGCTGGCCTGTCAGCAGATTTCTGACAACTCCAGACCCCGTTTGCCCTTGCAGCTGGGATTTTGCCATCCCAAACCAGATATCTGCCGTTTTCCCGCATTGAAACAAGGCGGTGTGTGAATTGCCAGCTGCCAGCTACATTGCTCAAGGGCGAGGACTCTTATTTTTTTCCCCCTCCTGTATAGCTGGGCATTAGAGCAAACACGCCGAGATGTCTAAAAAGCAAAATACAAAAGGTAAGATGCATGTGGATGTGATATAATCAAATGCCAATAAGCAGCACTATTGATTCCAAAGTTATCAATTAGGAAGGGGGTTAATTGCTTTTGCTATACTCCTTTCAAGGCTGCTGATGTCACTTGACAGCTTATTGTCACTATCTTAGTGACATCGTATAACCTGTTGGGTTTTGTGACATTTTTAGTAGCGTTTCAGTTGTCCAGCTGGACAGTTCTGATTTCACGAGTTCCTGTATGATGCGAATATTGCACCACGTTCACAGTCAGACAACAGGAGAAAAAAAAAAAAAATTGTTTAGTAGTTGAAGAGTTAGGGAGCCAAACTTTTTTTATTTTACTGGGGTCCCCAGCTGGTTCACGACTTCCCCTCTTTGGCTACGGCCAGGATGAACTTGAGCGGCATCTGGGTCTCTGATGGAATTAACTCCACCAAAATTTAGTCTTGTTCCCGAGGCAACCCTCGTCCGCCCTCTCGGAGCGCCCCATGGACGCCGGGGTTTCGGGGCAGGCTTCTGTCTTGGACTTCCTCGCGCTGTCTGTGGCAACCGCTTGCCAGGAATCCAGTTCAGAAACAAGCCATGGAATCGAGGTGGGATAGCTCAGCTGGGGTCCTCGCCTCTTGGGGATGCGATTCAAACGAGACCTATTGAAATCTTTTTTCCTTCGAGATAGGTACAGAAGGGCAACGAGCAAGTTTGTGAGCGGCTTTTTCCCTTGCTTTGTCTCCATCGCACGGGCTGGTTTTCCTTTTTCTGCCGTCGCATGTTAAGTGGCGAAGCTGTTCTGGCGTCAAGCAGCTTATTTCAGCGAGGGATCTTATTTGTCGCGTGTGAAACATTAATTCCAAAGTGTGTGTGTGGTGGGGGGGGAGTGGGGGTTGAGGGTTACGGTTCTCTTTTTATTTGAACTGACTACTAATTAATAATTTAAGGCGAATGGGTTTGACAATTCAAGTCCTCTACCTCAGGAGAAGAGCTTTTGTTCTCTGTAGATTTTTTTTTTTTTTTCCTAGCAGCTTTGGCATAGAAACGGTGTCTACCTGAGGAGCCCAGACATCCTTTGACAGCTAGATCCATACATGATTCGAAGCAATTAGTAACAGTTATGGAAATTGTTGTATAGGATAATTTCTGAGTGATTTTTAAAATGCTGTATTTGTATCTGTGCTCTTGGAAGCCTCAGTACAAGTCATTCAGAAATCGGCTTCTGTCTGATGCTGGAAACTGAGCCCAGCAATCGTTGCTGCTGAGCACACGTGGAGAGAAAAACGCCTTGAAACAGCAGAAGAGAATTAACGGGTCTAGGTAGGGGAAACGGCAAGCGAAATCCCTAGGAGGCAACTGGGGGAAAACACGGGAAGCTGTTGCTCTGAGGGAATTCAGGGGTTTGGCAAATCCCCAGCCGAACGAGAAAGCCAGCGCAATTGCTGCTCTCGGTGGTGTTCGGCAGAGTGTGTCGTAGAGAGAACCCGCTGGGAAGCGCTGGCACGTATTGGGTTCCTCCAGAAAAGTAAAGGGATCTTGGACATAAATATTTGACACCGAGCAGGAAT